ACACACACACACACAAACACAAACACACTTTTGTCCTTCCTGAAATGGATTTCCTTCGACGTCTCGGAAAAACACACTTTAAACGAGATATATGAAATACCGCACAGTTTGTAAATTATAGTGCGGTCAAAAATTCGTGGTGCAACTTATCCTCAAATATCTCTATAATGGGTAAATCAATGCCATCCATACTTTGCAGAGGAGTTTGTATCAATTTGTCTTAACTAATTTGTATTTTTCCAAAACAATTCGGGCTAGATTAAAATACTTTTCTTCTTGAATTTGTATTTATATAAAATACTTGAAATCTCTGTCACACGTAAATTGGTATTGTTCACATCACTTCCCGCTTCTCAAACACATTTTGATTACGCATATAGCCTACGTCACAGCTGATTTATGACATTTTTAGTGGCAAAATCTGTTTCAAGAAATTAATTTTATAGTGAACACATTTTTTTGGGCCTCTAATGGCTCTCAAAACATGCGTTCAAAAAGCATAATGTCCCGATTAGAAAAACATGAGGGACTTGGTATTAAAAGCTATAAACCTTTTATTAGAATGTATGAAGGAATTTCCTGGATTACAGTTAACAGGTATTTACAAAAATGTTGATCTGTTAATTAAGACAAATTGATGCATGTCATTGTGCAAAAATTGGAGAATCTATGTTGGATTGATGAGGAGATAAATGATAAAAAATTGCGAGAACGAATTTTTGACCGCACTATTGGCATTTGTGTTCCAACATAGGAAAACTGTGCATTAAAAAGTTCACAACTTGTTTGAAAGTACACTGTATCTCTAAGACAACTACAGAATATAAACAAACACAGAAATGGGCAAAAATGCGTATCACAAATCTGTGTCATGCGTTTAAAAAGCAAAGAAATAAAATGTAAAAACATTCGTTTTTAAATGGGCTAAAAAATAAGTAACACTAATCTGTACCCTTTCATCAGGTCGGCATTTGGTTACTCGCTGCGATCTACAACATTCCGCTTCTGCTCATCTTCGACACTCTCGTCTCATCGGACGGAGAAGGGGAGATCACGTTTTGCTTCCTTCTCTGGCAGGTCATCGACATGCGCCTCTACTATACAATCAACTTCATCTTCTGGTAAGTGAACAAAAAAAAAAGAGCCAGCTTGAATATTGGAGAAAATTGGACCACAAAGAAATGAAGCAATCAGATTCCATCATGGTAGTCGAACTACTCTCATAATATGTAGTTTTAGTAAGTGTTTTACGGCGCTCGCAACTACATAAGGTCATACGAGCGCCAGAAGATTACAGTTGTTACAAGAGAGTAACACACACAAAAAGAAGAAGAGGAGATAAAGACGGTAGATGTTTGATAAGAAATAAGAAGCAGACTACACTAGAGCACCCGCCAACCACCACGAAGATTTCCAAATACCCTTACTTTCATAATAAACTGTTACTACATAATTTTCATGTCCTGCTGTGAACATTTGAGGTTTCTACTTTCAGAGGGGCCACATCTTGGTCACCACAATGCTATGCCCTAGAGACGCTCTTGACTTATTTCATGAAAAGGGATAGGAATGTCAAAATTCATAACCCCCCACTTCATGCCTCCCCCCCTCCCCTTTCCCATCTTTCAAAAGGAGGAATTAGACTTCGAATTTACACAAATATGTTGGACAATTCCTCAATCCAATTGTTCATACACAGTGTTTCTTGACGTGACGATCTGTTAACGCCTCCTGCGGTGTAAGTGTTTTGGCTGTGTGCCGCTCTTCGAAAAAAGACGCGAGTTCGATCAGAGAGTTTACAGTAATAGACAGACAGACAGACAGACAGACAGACATACAGGTAGACAGAGGGAGAGAAGGGGAGAAAGAGAGACTGGGAGAGAGAGAAAGAGAAAAAAGACAGACAGACAGACATACAGACTTAAGCCAAAAACAAGTCTTACAGTTTTTGGCCGAGGGAGGCAGGGGGTTGTCTAAAATATGCGATATAAATCACAGGCCTCCTTCTTTGTTAAAGGCCTCGTAACCTAGTGAACTAACTACAAACGGTACTACATTTTGTCATGACATGACAGCATCCCTGGGCATCGCCATGGCAGCGATCACAGCGTGTAAGTGTTTTCGCGCCCCGCGCGGGCGATACGCGAAACAATGCACTGTTGTTATGGAGCGCCGCAACGAGTGTCAACTCTCTATTACTGTAAACCCTCTCTGGTTCTATCTATATTTCTGCTAGTTCTATTGAATAGAGTAGACTTGCTTTTCAGCAGAGATGTTGTATTCCATTACGTCTATGTTGGTTTTTACAAGCAAGCTGGATGTGGCCCGCCCTTTTAGCTGACCTGAATTGTGTCGTTTTACTTAGAAGATGTGGTGCTTATTGACGATACCATTCTATGCCTTATCGTGTCCTGTTTTATAACATTTTGCCGTACCCAAGGGGATTAAAAGTAATGGAGGATGCTCTGTGGGCGGCACCGCACGCCTGATAGGAGCCCTCTCTCGCACCTGTGTTGTATTTAAGTGTAAGAACCGATATGATACTGCAGTGGACCGAAGTTTTCACAGTTAAGTTGTTTTCCTTTCAAAAAATTTGAATGAAAGTGTTTCAAACACCATTTTGCTTATTTATGAACGTACTGTGCTGTAGTTCTTACTATCCATATCATAACTTTTAAAACTGAAATTATTAAATGTATTTTCATTCTCTCGACCATACCGTATGTTGTATACAGCCTGATACTATGATATCATGATACTTCGTTAAATATAAAATAGAGCCAGAAACTATTCTAAACCGTTCAGAACTTTAGGAAAACTATATACATTTTACAAATGCGTCATGCCTTTCCTTACCCTTATTTGAAACGAAACTGATAATAATAAATAACATTTATACTGCGCATTTCCAACTAATTTTTAAAAATGCGCAAAACATCGAAAAAGACATCACATCTTAAAACATCGAAAAAGACATCACATCTTTAAAATTCATCAACATGCATATACGTAAAGCAAAGTGTTTTCAATATAATATCAATGCATGTTATGTGTAAAAACTTATTCCATCTTTATTTTGTGTACCCCCCTCCACCAATCCTCCACCCCCCCCCTGTCCTCCCAGGTACGTCCTCCCTCTGACCACCATGTCCGTCGTCTACGCCATCATCTCGTGCGTCCTGTGGCACTCCGGAAACTTCTTCACCAAGGACAGCAACGACAACAGCAGCACCGGCAGCAACAAAATGGCGCCTGCCACCACCAGAGCAGACCGCTTGTCTGGCGTTTCTTCATCCAGCAGTCATAGCAGCAGTGGTGGTCGAGGAAGCAGCAATGATGGTGGTGGTGGTGATGGCGGTGGTGGTGGTGGTGTTGGTGTTGGGGGTGGGGGAGGTGGTGGTGGTGGTAGTGGGTATAGTTCTAACCGCGCTGGAAGCGGTGTTAATTACTACAAGAGTCATAATAACAATAACAGCAACGGCAACATGGACGTTGGAGGTTGCTATACCACGACGAGCGTCGGTGGTCCTACCTCTCAGCATCAGCACTTGCAGACCCAATGCCGTCTCCACGATAAGGTCAGCGAACATAACCCGCTCATGTTCATCGACGAGGACGATAAAGTTGGGGGAGGATGCGCGGGATGTTGCTCCACACCGGGGTCAAAGGTGAAGTACAGGGAGCCTTCTCCGAGTCGCGCGGTCCCAGACTGTTGCTGTTGCTGTGGCGTGCCTGATGATGTTGGTGATGGCGTCGTCCGTACCGGAGGCGAGTGGGGTCGGGCTAGGGGCGCTGTGGTGAGTGGGGCAGCCAGTACTCCGGGGCAGGCATCGAGGGGAGGTGGTTGTCTGTCGTGTAGTTGTTGTTCGGGGAGTTACACCGGCAGTGGTAGTAGGGAGAGAAGCGATGGAATCAAAGAGGACGACAACATCAGTGTCAAAGACTTTAAGGAGATCTCGAGGAATGACCACCGCATGGTATGTCCCTCCCACCACTCTGTCGCAGTTCGCGTGGATGGTACGGGCACCCAAGCGTTTCTCTCATACCACACCGCTCCACTGACCGGTGACTCCTCCCCGAAAAGCGGATTTGACCACCCGCAACAAGGGCGGCAACTTCCTTACAACAGCCGAAAAACGCAAGAGCAGCGGGGCTTTACGAACACGAGACAAAACTCTTTCGAAATGGCAGTCTTAAACAACCGAAACTCATGTCGTCAGCACAGCAGTAAGAGGACTTCAGCTCAACAGAATCACGGAGGACATTTTTTCGGCAAAAATGGTCCGAAACAGCGAGTGAACCGGATGTCCTTCTGTTCGGAGTACCGCTCGGACACTTCTCATAGGGCCTCAGTCTCCGCGCCACTGGATGTACGCACACGATACGTCACAGCGTCCATGCGAGTTCTCACATCGCGCCGGAAAGTCGTTCGTCTTCTCGTCATCGTTCTTTTCAGCTTCGCCATCTGTGTGCTTCCACACCATGTGCGTCTTCTCATGGTCCACTGGGAGGTCTACCCAAGAAGCTCCTTCGGCCTGGGCTTTTTCCCTCCTCTCGCATTCATCTGTATGTATCTCCACTCGGCTCTCAATCCCGTCTTGTACTGTCTCTTCTCTGAGAGCTTTCGAAGAAGTATTCAAGAGTGCTTCCGAAGAAGTTGGCATCGGAGGCGATCGTCACTCAACATGAACGGGTACCATTGACACATATACAACACTGATCTGTGTGAGGCTCAAACGGATTTATTAATTCTTTACTAAGTAAATTAATTGTAAAGTATGATGTGCTTGTTTTCACAATAATAACGCTTTGTTGGGGTAACCGGAAAGTAAAATTAATCAGTGTACCTGTGTAATGTGTTCTGTATGTATAGGAGTATGTATACAAACATGTATATTACATACATACATATGTAATATGTAATATA